ACACACACACACACACCTCCATTTGCTCTCTCTCTTCTGTTTTCTCTCTCAGCAGACACTGGGGCTTCTGCATAATTCAGAAGCCACAAGTAGGCTCAGAGGTGTTGTGCACAGCATGGCGAGATACACAGACGGATACATATGCACACTGAGACACTGGAAGAATGTCACTCCCAGTCCCAAGGCACACGCACATACATATTCACACGCACACATACGCACGCCAGACAACAGATGTCACAGACGCGTCAATATACGAGGCTCGTTAACTGCTTCATCGTTACTGTGAGGGATGTGAGCTTTTAACAGATGCAACTCATTATTACATTACATTTGAAATCTAAGTGGTGCTGCACACAGATCGTCTAGTGTTTGTGTGCATGAATGTTTTCAGGATCTTATCAAGTGTGTACTGTACACTTGGCTTAAAGAAAAAGGCTCAGCTGGCCACAGCAGAGCGAGGGGCCGCCCAGGCGAGGTTAAACACACACAAAGAAAAACCATACCGGGCAGCAGGGACAGGAAAAATAGATTGTGACATTAGCAGGAAGCAATCTATAAAGCCGCGCTCCACTACGCTGCCACCCACTACATCTGTGTGCTGAGCTCTATTAGTTCCACAGCTCTGGTAGCTCGTACAGCAACACAGACATTTCAGACAGATACAAAAAAAGGAGGCCCCTGAGGAGGAAGACCAGGTAATAGATTAAAATATTAGTCCTGGGAACTTTGCAGGCAAAAACACCATGTAATTGCAAAACTATGTGTTCAAGTTCTTGGCCTAATGTCACATGTCATCTTTAATGCATACTGTCCGTTTAAGAAGAAAGCGCCCTTATTGTGGAGAGATGGCTATCAGCTCTGCTACTTTACCTGAGGATCTAAGGGTAGATAAAAAGCTATAAGACTTACAGTTCCCAGTAAGGGGAGCTAATTAGTTTTATATAAAAGGCTCTAGTTGTTTCTCTATCAGATAATGAAATAATCAGCAATGCATAATATAACTCTATGGGTGGTGTGTGGCACATACACTGCCTTAGTTTGGAACTGGCATTACACTGAGGCCACCTATGCTACAGAATGTACGGTATGCACTAGTAGATGGTATCACTCCAGGTGCATTACAGTGCCAGCACAGTGGATATTTTGTTAGTAGTCCTAGCCAAGCCTACTAATATACCAACATTTATCTGGACACAATACACCTTGAGTTTCTAAGCACAACATACTGGAAAGAAAATGCCATTTAATTGGTGAACCATTGATACATAAGTAGCTTGGAGATTATTGAAGAATGTGATGTGGAAAAAACAAGCCTGGAAGCTTGTCTGTGTAATGCAGTTAGCACTGCTAATCAAGCTTGATTAGTGGCCTATCAAACCCATGCAGAGAACAGAGGAAACACACCACGCAACATAAATCTGCCAAACTATAAGGACTATCCAGCTCACCGACAAACACAAGAACTCAACAGCACAGAGCTCTACAAGCATGTCAAAGGATTTACCATTACATTGGAATTTCTGCCATGAACAGAAGCATAAAAAAAACAAAAACAACTTGCTATGCTCAAACAACATTACAAACATAAATGGTGTGCACAAACTCACAGTGCAGGCTCAATAGTGTGTAGCTAGATGAATCAAAACATTGTTTCACTAACAGAATGAAGCAGCCAATTTTTCCTCAGGGGGCCCACTTTTTGCTTGATAAAAAAAAAAGGGATTGTGGAAAGAGTGAGTGTCTTCTATTGATTATCCACTGATAGACTCAGATTGCCCCTCGTAGGGGGGAGCTGTAGAGTAGATGGGCTATAGTGTTGAGGCAGGCTCTCTCTCTGGAGCATCAATCTAAGAGACATCTGACAGACTCACACGAGCCCACACAAGTGAATGATGGAGTTCTCAGGCAGGGAAAACTTTATGAACACAAATTCTGAAGCCCAAAACTTTCTCACACTCACACACACGGACACACACGCGCATGCGAGTATCACGCACAAATTGCTTTAAAAATGCCAAAAAGGTGAGTCATGACATTTATCAAGATGGATTCTTCCCATCTGATAACTTAAACCGCATACCCCAAATTAAGGGTGTGAATAATCTTATACAAACGTTCAGCCTCGAAGGATACACGCAGATTTCAGTAGGCTTTAAGCAGGTTAACAGACTTTCAATTAAATTATTGTCTTACTGTAAAATGTCAGTTTGGTACAGGATGTTCTGTTCGGTATGTGACTTCTTCGGTTTGGTATGTCCTGTGACCCAAACAAATACTGTCAAAACAGTCTAGTTATGTCTACTACTCCCACACCACGGGGCAGACATTCTATGTGCTAGTTTTACCAACAAAGATTTGGTAATGCACCAGTTAATGTCTATCATCTGTAGCATGCTAGTCGGCTTAGCCCAGTTAGCCAGGTTATTCTAGCTCATGCAGTTTCGCTGCCATCCATATGGAACGCAAGAGAGAGACCAGAGCTGGAGAATCCTCCCATGACATTTAGATCAACTGTATGGGAGCATTATGGTTTCCCGATTAGTTGCTGCAAAAGTGGAAAGCGATACCATACTGTATGCCGACATGTCAGTGGAAAAACTTCAAACATGTGATTTATGACAGCATCACCCAAATGTGTCAATTAGCAGAACCAAACAAACACACAAACAAAAACAGTCTCTCTCCACACAGCGTTCAAGCTGCCTCTCGCTACAAATTTGATTTGTTTTCCCTGCTGTACTGAAAAAATACCAAAAATGTACCGACCTAACCAAAACCAAAGTAGAAACTGTGAATTTTGTTACACTCTATTATAAATGATAAAAAACAATCTGCCTTACTTGGCGTTCACACAAAAACTGTACGGGACTGTATCATTGTTTTAAACGCCAGAAGACCTTTCTGGCCTCTATGAAATGAAGTCTTTTACTTTTGTCCTAGTGCTCACACACACACACTATGCAAAATAGAAAAGGCCAATAGCAAAGCACAGAACCATAGCTGACCAAAGTCACCAATTAGACACCATGCAATCCATCTCATCTAGCACTCCTTATTCTCACAATACCCCTGATGACATCGACAGTTCACAGGTTCAGTGAAGCTGGGAGGGGAGTAAACTTATTAGGAGATCAACAGGTTTCAGCATTAGTCCTAATTATAGCAGCCAAATTACGCTTCAGGAAAAAAAAAAAAAAAATCAACGACAGCTTTGTGTGGCTAATTACAATTTCCTCTTTACCCCATTAACCTGGCCTCATCTTGATCCCTGGTTAACAAGGAGCAGATTAGCATCATTTGGGCCTATTAACAATAGTGTGACAGGGATTTATAT